AACCAACAGTGTGCCATTGCTGATTTTATCTACTTAAAGGTTTTGGGGACTCAGCCTTATTCCATCTATTGGCTATTGTAATTGGACAGTGGCCAGCATCACAAGCAGACCGCCACCGCATTGAGAATATCAAACTTTTCAACTGTGACTGTTGTGGACTCACTGGGTTTGTTGTAATTGACATAGCCAAAGAGGAAGAAGATGATACAGAAGGTGATGAGGGCAGCCCACCAGGTGAACAAAAACATCAGAACCACAGAGATCACTGCCCCAAACAGAGCTGTCCATTTGCTGTAGTAGTGAAATGATGGCCTCCACCCTAAATGAAATAACAATTGGACAAAGTTAAGTGATCCTTMTAAAGAAAGTAGGCATTTAATCCTTTTCACAGCAGGGGTAACTCTCTGTTGTAACGCCTGAAGGATATTGCAACAGTGGCTTCACAAGAGCAGCAAATGCAAACCAAAACAATAAAAATAACAAAAAAAAAACACATTGTTTTTGTTTACATACATACTAGCACTGACATTGGAACAGTGTACATAATACTAACGTGTATGTGTTAGTATACAGCAGCATAGCTAACCAACAAAAGTTGGAAAAGTAGCAGTTTGGATTTTCCATAAGCCACTGCCTCAAAAGTAAGGTGATGCTTCATGATATTATTAATGACCTGCTTATTGTCATTTTTCGAAGGACAGCCAATTGATCATGTAATAAATGTTTAGTTTTAATGCTGTTGCTCAGAAGTGGCAATTACTTGTCACCATGAATAAGGTTCCACTATCAATAACTGATGTCCTACCTTTTTTCAAAGTCTAAGGCAGTCTGTGATAAGTCAATAGTACCATCATTCTAAAATGCATAATGGAAATATCAAGTAAAAACAACTCTTTTGTCCATTATTATAGCTGAATTTGACCACAGTCAGTTAGAAAAATTGGTCTTTCCACATGACTTTATTTACAGTTTTTGTTTGTTTGTTTGTTTGTTTTTAAGAGATACTGATGATTTTGCTGCACACATAATAAATACATGAAATGACAAATAGGTAAGTGATATAGTAGGTTACTCACCAGGAGAATTTGTGATAGAAGCGTGAAAGCAACTGAAGTTTATAAGACAGTAGGAGCACAAGAAGAAGTTGGAAATCAGGGCTGCGATGGTGTTCAAYTCCGCTGTGATGAGAACCAGAAGAACAGAAAGTTGCAAAAAGATAAAATTGTATTCAAGGTAGTGCTTCAAAGATTAAAAAAAAGGAAAGTTTGCAGAACTACAGTGTTGGACTCACCGATGAGAATGAAGGCCACYGCAATGATGTAGCAAAGAACATACGCTCTGAGGGGCTCATTATTCTTCCCATAACCTTTTGCAAAGAATATAATATACGGGTATATTTTGTCTTTGCACAGACACTGARAATAGACAGAAGGTAATCAGAAGTTAGATGTGATATTATGTATCAATAAGTGAAGTTACTTGTTATTTATCTGTTTGACAAACTATATTATTTTGATTATTTATCCTTTTAGAACAATCCCAAAGAAGCAAGAGCCTGGAAAATAATAAATCCCTTAAAATCTACAAAGATTACAGTTTACGAAGCAGAGCTCGATTTGWCAAAATTACTAACATTTTATGACAATTCAACATCATCTAAAAAACAAATGCGGTAAAGTTATTATTTTATTGCAAACAGCCACATTTTACAATGCTTACTTTATAAAACCTTTAACCACATTTAATTCAAACCTGTTTTCAAATATGAAGCGGGGTTGTGAAGATGTCACACCTGAAAAACCTTTGGTGCAGAGACCAGGAATCCAAGAGCAGAAGACAAGCTGGCTGCAAACACACCAGCAGTGATGAGGTAGTAGAAACCAGAAACCTGCCCCAGGACCTGGTGGGGAAATTTTATTTATTTTATTATTTATTGCAACATTTACCAACTTGAAATGTAATAATCATGGAAGTTGTATTATTAACAACATTTAAAGAAAACACGGTTGACATTGCAAACAACTGTTGAAAAAAAAAAAAATAGATCACTACCTTCACACTATTGGCCAGCCCATAATTACAGGACTGGGATTGGATGCAGTCTGTGAAGTTCCAGCCCATTTTGCATGTCARTCCCAGACAACCATCAGTGCTGTTTCCAATGATGATATCACTTTTATTCCCGGAAGCATCCCGAACCACACACGCCCCTGGAAGAAAAGTCAAAACTCTAGTGGAGCAGAAGAAAATACTAGAAGCTTGTTT